ATATATATATATATATATATATATATTATATATATATATATATATATCGTCGGCTACGCGGCCAAATGGCCGATCTGGTAAATACCCCTGTGGGGAAAATGGCTAGTAGCCACTTTCCCCGTTGGGGAAAATGGCAGATGAGCCTTTTTTTAAATTTTACAGGAGAAGCAAAAAACTGATTATCTGCTCCAATTTTTAATGTTCAGATTTCAAAATTTGAACCAAAGTTCAGCATGTTATTGCAGATAATTTGGTAGACTTAATTTTCTTTTAAACCTTAATATACAACTGTTGTAAGAAATTTAAAGGGAATTTATTCCACACTGAAAGAGTAAAACGTACAATACAATCGAAATTAAACCACTTATGCGATTATTTCCTGCTTTTCTTTGTTCAATTTAACTTGATAATTATATTTTATAATATAATTTTATTTTAATTCATCGTATTTTATAATATTTTTATTATTTTATTTTATTTAAATTAATATAAATTTTATTCTTTTATTTGCACAATAGTAAACAATTTTGGCATTAAAAGCATTTTTTTCTTATTTCACATGACCCGGCGTCACTTCTAATTATAATCTCATGAATAGTTTTACTAATACTTACTATAAATTGCAATAATTAGTGAAGTAAAATCTAGCTCGGATACAACATAAAGCTTCTGGTCGCATGTCAAATATTTTAATAAAAAAATCTATTTTTTACTATTTATTTAATTTTAAAATTATATCTATTTTAAAGAATTATTTGCATTATCATGCAAAATGCATGAAAAAGCTGTCACTTTGGAAAACAATATTGACGAAACTACAGCTTATTCTGATATTTTACTTCCTACTTAATGTTAGGTATTTTATTAAATTTATTAAAATTTTATTTTTATATTTTTTATATTTTCGATATTTTCATTATTTTTAACATTTATTGCATTTAAAACAATTTTGGCATTATTCAGCAAGCGGGAATGCTGCCTGCTTGCCTGTAAGGGGGCGTGGCACTGCCTTACTTTTGCTCCCTGAACTCGCGATAGTGAGACATCTACCGAGAAAGTTGATACTTTTATGGTTATTTCTGATGCAGATTTTTACACTGAATGCATTGGAACAATAAAAAAAATTTGTCCGGAAATGCTCATCTGCCATTTTCCCCAACGGGGAAAGTGGCTACTAGCCATTTTCCCCACAGGGGTATTTACCAGATCGGCCATTTGGCCGCGTAGCCGACGATATATATATATATATATATATTATGCATTATTGTAGAAATATCTTTTTATAAATTATGTTTCTTTTTTCAAATCCAAAGTTTATGACACATTTGTCTCCTGCAAATACTAATAAATTTTAATTTATTCGTGCGACTTTTCTAGCGGCCAAAGGACATAAATATGATTAAATATTTTTATATACATATATAAACTATTCTGAGTTGACAAGCTTTCAAAATTCTTCAATATATGTTTGCAAATTAAGAATATTTGGTCAATAAAACGAAAAAAAGTTATTAATAAAATAAGTTTAAAAAATTGATTAAACATTTTACGGGGGAAAACATTTAACACGGCGGATGCTTGTATTAAAAGTCGTGTTTTTCTAAAGACGATCGTCCCGAGTTGGGTTTCGAAAGCCGCGAAGATCAAAGTCAATTAGGCGAGATCGATCGGCGCGGGCAAACGATGATGATTATGATTATTGTGTGCGCTCTTGGTCGGTTGGTCGGGCGGAATTAAGTGCGCGCTTGTGTATTACGATTATCGAGCCGCCCAGGCAGCTTATTTTATTGAGAGGCTCGCGGATTCCGCGAACGGCGATAAAAGCGCGCGCAAGATTTACGGCGCATATATTTTCAATTTGCCCTTCGTGGAATCACCGCCGCCGCGTTCATTTCATACGAGAGCGCGTTATTATTATTCAATTATCGGCAATGTCTCGAGCTAGAAGAGTCATGAGTAATTGCCCTCTGCTTTCACCTCTCTCTCGACGCAGGTCAACTCGCATTAAATCCAAAATCACTTTTAATATTAAAAAAAATTAACATGAATAATCGCTCTGTTTGTTTTAATATGGAAAAATGATTTGCATTTTAATGCAATTGCGGTGATTGACGAGGAAGCATACCAAGGCTTATTAATTCCGATTTGTCTTCTTTCTGCAGCTTGAAGGGGATTAATTTCTTTGACGGGAGGCGTTTAATTAAGCCTCTGTGGCGCGAAGCTCGCATTCCGGGGTCAGAGAAGGAATTGTATAATAAAAAATATTTACAAGTGCTGAAAAAATCGTTAAAAAGTAAAATTGCCCTTTTTAAGGAACTATCAGTTATTGCGCCGCTGCACCTTGAGCAAAGCATAGCTTGAATGGATTATTTTATTATAATTTGTAATATGCAGCAATTTACAAGCAGGCTTCAAAAGTACTCTTGATGTTTTTTCTGCTCCTAAACTCATTGTAAATAAAAAAGTATCTTTCCGATTTTATTCTTATTGTCATTGCTCAGAAGAAAAGCTGGTAAGAAAAGCTCAGGAAAAAAATGATCGTCTATACAACCTTAATTAATTAAGGTGGGTAACACAAGTATTTATATTTGAAACGACTTTGGCAATAATTTCCAGAATAATGTTAAAAACGGTCTGTAAATAAAAATGAAATACATAAATTTATTTGCTGGAGAAATCTGCGCAAGCCGCCGCAAGTGAGTTTGGCTATGCAATTTTATTAACACAATAATATCTTTGCCAAATTTATTAAAAACAAATTCCAGTATATTAAACAGAAATTAACATTTATAAAATTAGAGATACCTTAATCAAAATTAATCTCTTTTACTGTTGATTCTTCTACAAAATGCATTTTTAATTACAAGAAATAATTACGCTGAAATATTTAATTTCAACAAAATTATGTTTAAGATTTTCATTCATTGTCAATTTTCCCATATTCCATCAATGTGCATGTCACTGACTGAAATCATTGATCAAAAGGGAAGATCGGTATAGCTTATTGAACTATACGGAGAAAAAATTCGCCGTGGTGCGGAACGGAGACGAACGCGAGCGAGCGGCGCACACAAAGTTGAGTCTGCGCCTTTTCTGCCGCATTAAAAGTTATTTTACGAGCGGCTCGACCTCTGAACTCGCGGGGCCGCCGACACATTCCTCCTTCACCAACCTCGTCTATCCATCCCGCCGACGACAGATATGTTATTATGGGAGGAAAATATGAAAGAAAGAAAGAGCCCAGCAGAGTTCCTCCTCTTTCTCTGCGTTGAAAGCTTAGGCAACAAAACGTTTGGCCGCAAATCGGCAATTATCGGGAAAGGAATAACGACCAGTGATTATCATCAGTTTCTGTATAAAATTATATGCCATTGTGACAAAAAAAATATTAACAAAAAATTTAAAATTTTCTTATTGTAAAAAATGATCTTCAATACAAATTCGCAAAACTATTAAACGGGGCACAAATCAATTAATACTATAATATATTAAATATTAATTAATTTTTTAAGACGCATTGCATTATAAAAATTGGTATTTAAACCAAAAAAGTGCAAAAAAGAGAAGTAAGATCAGCTCAAAGAGAATTATAAACTGGCAATATATTTTGCACCGACAGAAATTGTGGAAAATATGAAAAAAACTTTACTCAAACTGGAACTGAGCGAGAAGGGATTATTCGCAAATTCAGTCGGAAGGCGCATGCAGGATTTTGTATTGAAAAGGGTGGACTTTGCACCCCAGTTGTAGTACAAAATACAAAATACATTTGTTTTTCTTTTAATGCAATTTTGAAATTTTTATGGCCGAATTATTTGATATTTTTTCTATATATAGTGTAAAAAAAGGAAATTTTAAATGAGTATTGTTCAAATTTTGTATAATATGTTTGCATTTTATAAAAAATATATTTCTATTTTAAAACTCTTCAAAAATTGCAGTAAAACGCGACCGTTTAGTCATAATTTCTAAATTTAAACCCCCTCCTATCAAAAAGAATTGAAACCCCTGCTGTTTTTCGGCTTGTCAAAAGTCAAAAGAGAGTCCCTCGTAAGACACCTGTTTTGTCTTTTATTTTTTGTCTGCTGGAAGAATGCGGTGGCTCGCATTCCTGTGCTGAAAGGCGCGTTGATTTGGTGAAGGGCCATCGATCACGAAGGACCACCCGAGCTAGCGCGAGAGAAAGAAAATAGAGAGGTGATGAGCGCGCGGCGCGCGTGATTGAAGGCGTGAGAATGCCGTGGACGCCCCCGCCTCCGAGCAATCCGAGCGCGCGGCTCGCGCACCTTGTAATTTGAGGGCCTAAATAGCTGTAATTAGATTAGCCGTCGATAAGTCCAAACACCGACGAGGAATAAAAAAGCTCGGAAAAGAAGAAGAAGAGAGTTTATTTGCGAGCCATTTGAAATTCAAATCTCGGAGCGCGGGGGAGTCAATTACGAAAGAGCCGCGACCTAATGGGCGGCGGCCCCTTCAAAGCGAGCGGCCCGACGACGCCCCGCGGGCCCAGCACGTGCGCTCCGCCAAAACAGAATATTGTTCCTCAAAAGCAATTTCATACTCATTTCAAACAGCCGCAAATTATAAAAATAAATTATACATAACATAATACTGTCCATAAATTTTTATTTAAAAACTTAATCTCATTCTACTAGAAACTGCTAAAACCCATGAGTACCAAAAAAAGTTAATTCAAAGTAGTGCCACGTTTCAATACACAAAAATGAAATATTTCTTTATTATTCTTAATTATATTATTAATAATATGATCTAAAACTTTAATATCTGAATATTATTTTAAAATTGCAACGCATTTTTTTTTTAATTTTCTTTACAATGTTAAACCTTAATTCAAAAAAATTTATTTATTTTATAGGTATTATTTCAATGAAAAGATTTTTCTGTAAGTTTTTCATACAAATTACTCTTTATTTGTCAATATATAAAATGTACAAATTTATACATATTCTGAAAATAAATTATCACCTCTAATAGGAAATGCACTGCAAACTAGAGGTAGTTTTTATTTTATCTTGCATTAAATGTGCATTTGTGAGACCTATACTTCTTTTTTTATTTTAATGTACAAAAAGGCGAAGAGAGAATAATTATATCAGTCGTGCCTGGTGCGGGTAAATAAGTTATCAGGAGGTGCATTGGGCACGAAGGTCGATTCAACAGTGCACGGCCGAGTCGACGGCGGGCAGTTGGCCGAGGTACGGATAGCAGCCGGATTTGGCCTCGACGCCGCCGCCGTTCGCTGCAAAGCCGCTGTAGGAAGAGGAGCCGCTCGCGAACATCAGATGCCCCGAGCCGCCTTGGCTGCTGAAATCAAACGCACGACTTCGATTAACGGCCGTCGATCTGCACAGATAACACCGCGAATAAGGAGCAGGCAAAGAAATGCCAAAAATCAGACAAAATGCAATAAATCATCTGCTTCTTCTTCTCATATAGTTCTTGTCAAGAAAAGAAGTTTCTATAGTTGTTATAGGTGGACAGAAAAAAAAAATAAAAGAGGCTTGGATTAGTTTTTTCTTCTTAAATAAAAAAAATATTTCTTAATATTGTCGAAGAAGACGACTGAGGGTCAATTCATAGTGTTTGAAGTTTGAATTCAAAATTTATTCTACTTGCTGCTGTGTTTTTTTTTAATTGTTTATTGTTTTGTAAATAGAAAAGTGTAATATACATATTTTAATATTTGATTTCTTTTTTTAACTCTAAATAATTTGTTTTTCAATTTTTCAATTTTTTCTTTATTTTAATTTTTCTCACGTAAAATAGAAAGAAAGGAAACATTTAAAACTTTCTTAGACAAAAATCGTTGAATGAAAATTTAGGTGACCTACCTTGGATCTGTGAGAGCAGAAGTGGTGGAGCTCCAAGGGTCAGTGACCCTTTTGGTGGCCCAGGAGTGCTCTTGATGGAAGTCTTGGTGGTAATAGGAAGGGTATGAGGGCTGATGTGCCCATGGTGCACCTGAAATCAAAATAAATCCAACAAATTAATTTCATGTTTTCAAAAAATTTAATTCTATATTAATGAAAAAAAATAGATGAAATAATCTATATAAATATAATTAATTGCAATATTTATAACTTTTTAACTGACCTAATTGAGATGTTTGGAAGGGTTGGTCGGGCGTGTGGAAGGCCGCGGGCGATTGGTGCGGCTGTCCATTCAACTGCTTCCGAAGTCGCGCTCGCCGATTGGAAAACCAAACCTGCACTCGCGCCTCCGTCAATTTCGTCCTTGAAGTCAATCTGATTTTAGTCCTCTAGATTTATTTTTCAGAGAGAAAAATCGGTCTTACTTTTGTGCCAGTTCTTCCCTGGTGTAGACGTCAGGGTACTGCGTTCGTTCAAAGGCCCGTTCGAGAGCTTCGAGTTGCTCTGCTGAGAAGGTGGTGCGACTGCGACGGGTCTTTCGCTTCAGTTGAATTCCAGGCTCACTCTCTGTGTCCGAATCTTCGTCACCAGAACTCATGGAACAACCTGGAGAACAAAAAAAAATTATGTTTTAAGTAATTTCTGATCATTTAAAAAAATTTTAAACGTTTTGATATTTATTTATTTTATGAGGTAGCCTACAATTTCAAATTTTGTAATCTGTTATAAGAAAGATAAATCTGACAGTATTTTTTGCATAATTTATATATTCAAAGGCAAGCAGACAAAACAATTGCTTGCATCAAGTGTGCTGTGCTTTCTGAAGAAGCCGGCTGGTTTTTTTTTTAATTTTAGAGAAGTGGAAATTGGAAGAGTTTAGTCATTAACACCAGGGAAGAACTCGGGATTTGAATCATTTAAACTCAATTTTAAAACTCAAAATTTTAAAAGTGCAATCTAATTTGGTACGTAGGGTGGGCGCTAGCCAGAATTGTTACCGGCACTAACTAGCAGGGCTAACTCCGTTTTGGCTAACTTCAGCACCACCCACTAGGCCAGTGCTTAAGCTTGAACAGATGGATCAAATCTGTCCAACAGCCTACTAAGGACTCGATGTTATGGGCCCCTACATACCTCAAATCGCACTTTAAATACCTGCAAATCATTTGTTATAAGAACTATTGTATGAATTTTTAGTAGTATTTAACAATTCTTTAATCATTTTAGGAATATTTATTGATAGAAGCAACAGTACACCATAAGTTTGTAATTATTGCGTAGACTGGAATTTTAAGATCATATTAAATTACAACTTTAACAATAAAAAGTATAAATATGTTTATATGTTTTGTGGCAAAATGATAATCCTGATAAAAAGTATATTTTCACATTACTAAAAATATATATTTTTATAAGTTAATGTTTTGTCTATGATTTTTTTCATTCAACTCAGTGGATTAAAAAGTATTCATCAATAAAGCAGAGCTAATTTTCGATTTGTAGGAAATTTAAAATCTTTACATTTTTTTCTTTTACAAAATAATCGCAGTTTTCAAATCTGTACAAAAATAATCATTTCCCTAGCCTGTGGATCACCAATAAAAACCTTTAATAAAAATTAATATTTTCTTTATTAAATATTGAGATACTTTTTAAATTTTTGAAAAGTTTGATTTGACTATATGAGGCAGCTAGAAAATCGATTTCACGCCAATTTGAACGGCCTGCGCGTAATTGAATATTATTCCCTTTCGTTCTGCTCGTAAACAAGTCTGTATGCGCAAAATTAATTAGCTCCACACTGCCCGGCTGCTGGCGTTGGAGAGTAAAAATCCTTTGGAAGGAAACCGAATTTTTTCTATTATAAATCATCTTTCCACCGCCGCAGCCGCCGAGGCGAAAAACGATTAAGGTGCTGCGGGAGGGAATTTCGGGCGTTCAGATCTCCGCGTGCATAGCGGCGGACGAAACGTCTTAATATGGGCCACAAATTGCTGCTCTCGCTTGGTTCAGATGTGAGATCCTCTCCACGATGGAAAGTGGAGGTTATTCATTAGTAGGCGGAGGAAGAAAATTACTAGCATTTTTTTCCGGGCCTTCAAATCATCTACATGCGGTTTCCCACATCCCACAAGTCAATCAAATTTACTGTCCAAATAAAAAACTTTACTGAAAAGGTAAATTTTTGTTTGTTTGGAGCTTTCCAAATTGAAATTTGACACAAAATAAACACAGCATCAAATTTCTAAGAATAGAGAAACTAAAAAATGAAAACAAATAAAAACACTTAGCTCTTTTTCTCAGGGAATTTTTCCTATTTTTTTTTTCAAATTAGAACAACAAATATGATTGAAAACTCGGTGGTTGGGTTAAACTTCTTTGAATTTTTATCTGATATAAATTTCAGACATAAATTCCCCCTAAAATGTGCTACTGCAACCATACGGAAACATAAAATTATTAGTTTAGCATATTTAAATTTCTATTTAAAAAAGTAAAATTCACTATTATATATTTTTTTTACATTTCAAATCAAATAATTGAACCCTACAAGATTTGATTCTCTATTAAAACTAAATTTAAAAAAAAATACAAATAAATCAAATGGACTATTTGACAAGTCGAATGAATCTTGTTTCTCAGATCATCCATCTCGATAAGAAAAAGAAAGGCGTCGAATTAGCGCGAGATAAAAAGGAGGTGGTTATTTTGTTCAGGTGTGATTGTTGACGCGCGCGATGACGAATGGCGTGTAAATGACTGGGCATTGTTGTGTTGAGAGCGTCTCGGATTAATTGAGCGGCGGCGGCGAGGTGTGTGGCGCTGCATTAACGAGGATTTATGTGTGATTTGCATGATGACTGGCCGGATTTAATTAGCCCGGTCACGAGAGGTTGATGGGCGACTTCAAAGGAGCCGCGCCGGCCCACACGTGTAACTATAATTACATTTGATCTCACTCGTGCTCCTTGCAGGAGAGAGACGGAAGGCCGCGAGAACAAGTGAGAGAGAGAAAACGCTATGGGACAAGAGTATTAAAAAAGTAAAACGCTCCCCCTCACGTGAGGGGACACGCAGCAAAGAAGGAACTTGGGGAATAAATTTCTCAGCCAGTGACACGACCTGCCGACACAACACAAAAGGCCGACACCCAATAAAAAGGCCCCCTGCCGGCGAGCGCGCGTCTTTGGTGGCCGCCGCCGCAGCCCGACCGACCGACGGCCCAATAATTATGCAAATCGCCCACACACCTTGCACACCGACCCCGCCGGCAAATTCAAAATCCAAATTGAATTCAGTGAGGAATGCGAATTTATTGCTTTACAAATGTGTCGCAAGAATTAAAATGAATAGCTTTTATTACTTTTAAGTTCGTATTTTAGACATACATGTGAAAAAATTGTGTCATTATAGAAACGTTTTTTTAATTTTAATTGTAGATATCATATTTTTTAGCTTCTTTTTTTTAAGTCTTACGTTTTCCCAATTTGTGTGAATTTTGTTTAAAAATTGAATTATTTTCATTTTTCTTCTGCACAGCAAAAAAGTGAGACCAACACCAATCAACAGGAAATTAAATCAGCTTTTGAAACTTTGACAAATTTCGCACAAATTAGAGTATTTTCGGCTCCAAAACACAACGTTTAAAAAATTTGAAATTTTTACGGCTGCTGCTTTAGCACTTAACAATTAACATGAGGAGAAAGGCAGTTAAAAATTGACCAAATCTTGTCAGAAATTTAAGAAAATTTAGCGCAATATACAATAAAATATAGGCGAAAAATAGTTTTTACAACGCATATCCAATTCAGAAAAAGCTGGAAAGTTGAAAGTTTGATTATTCTAGGAAATCTTGAGGAAATGTACTTATACATCATTTTTCCTTCCTTTTCTGAATTTTGATATAAAAATTATAAGAACAATTATTAATTATATCATATGGAACTTTATTTGAGCATAAAATGTTTTGTCGAGCACAGCATTATAATTCATACTCTTGTTTTAAAACTAATATTTCAAAGCCATTTCATTTTTTAATTTTTAATATGTTATTATTTTTTCTTTCTAAACAGCCGCATATTGCTCTCTCAATTACCGCAAGCATGTGTATTATTATTCTCTTTGCTGCCTAATGGAGTCACGATCGCATTACCCGCGTCGTTAGGCGGAAATTAATTTAAGCGAGTGTGTGGGCGCGAAATTCAATTATTATTCACGCGAGTGTTTCTCTCTCTGCTCATCTGTTATATTAATTCCTCGCCCCGCGCGCCAAGAGCAAGAGTGACAAAATGATTGGCGTTCGTGCCCCGCAGTGTGGATCTCTCCCAAATTGTTTTGTGGTTTTGAATAGCCCTGTGTATGAGACGCGCCGCGAGAATAATATAATATCTATGTATTTTATTAAAAGGGAGCGCGCTGCTGCGACCTGACACCAAACACGCCGCGCCGGCCACACGCGGCGACCTCAAAGGTGAGAGGAAAATGAATGACTTTTCTTCAGTCAGAGAGGATCGAGGAGAGAGAGAAAAAGAAATCGCTTTGGATGGGCAAGCACATGAATGGGACTGAAAACACGACTTTTCACACAAGCAACACAAAAATAAATCTGATTGTGACGTGCAATGTGGGAGTCCTTATTTTACATGTGTTTCCTGTCTAAAGATACATTTTACACACGTTTAAATGAGGAAGACGAACAAAATATTTATAATGAGAATCAATTAAGTAATATTATAGTAAAAAAATGTCATTTTTAAGTTTACATTAAAAACAATAAAAGCTTTTTATTAAAAAAAAAAATTGTTATAATTTACTATTTTTAAAAGGTAAATAAAGAATGTACACTTAATATAAAAATATGGTTTAAAATGAAAAAAAAAAAATAGTATGAATAGTATGAAGTGCCGAGTTTACCCCGACATTAGCTATAAGAAAGAAAATTTATTTTTCTAAACGTTTTAAAAATAATTCTTGAAAGTTTACAGGAAAATTCTGCTTTGAAATTTTGATTTTCAATAAAAAAATGAACCGAATTATTACTAAAAGAGTAAAAAAAGGGAAAAATGCAACTGGCTTGACCGCCTCACATGGAAAGTTTTATAAAACTTTACTTGCATCAGAGATTGTCAGAGATGAAAAAAAATTGTAATAAAAGCAGATATGTTTTAAAAATGAAATAGGCCAATTTCCCATGTCTGTTGCATTCACAAACAAACATAAAAGTATTAGATTCTTCAAATTTAATCACTGCGTATTCTGTATTCTTAATTTTATCAAGAAAGAATTATAACAGGAAAAAAAGAAATTATAATTATTTTGTAATTAACTTGAATTTAAAATTGTTGTAATAACCCCACTTTCACCTGATTTGTAAACCTGCATGGACTAACAAGATGTGCTCAGTTTGCTATAAACTTTTGATATTGTTAATTGTGTAATAAAGTTAGGTCTTTTTTGTTGCTAGTGGATGAAGGGATGGAAAAAAATTAAAAAAACTGGCATTTTTTAAATTAAAAATAAAATTTCAGCAAAGCCGACATTTTACTGAAAAATCTGCTCTCCCCTAATTAATGCCACTCCTAAGATTTGAAAAGGACAAAAGTGAAAATCATTACCAAATTTGTTTATTGTGTGTTACAATATGTAATAAGCGATAAAAATATTAGTATTTAATTTTTTTAAATATATATAAAATTAGATAATAGAACAAAATTGGAAAAATTATTTTGGCTTTAAAATAAAGGAAAAAATTACTGTTCTGTTCAAATTTAAAATTAAAGTTACAATGCAAACGAAATTTACTCACCCCCAAGGATGGTGTCAATGTTGTGGTTCTTGGCCATGAGGTGGTCGGTGACGTCGAGTTCGCGTTTGGCGCCGATGGTGTTGGTGGCGCCGCGCAGCAGCCGGCTGATGGACGAGACGGAGGGTGCGGACGCCTTGTCGCAGACGCCGTCCTTGATGAGGCGCTCCCTGATCTCCCAGGAGAAGATGCCCGGGGCGTCGCGCTTGTACTGGTCGATGCGTCGCTCGACCTCGGGGGTGGCGACGCGCGGCTTGCTGCCCCCGATGACGCCCGGCCGGATCGAGCCCGTCTCCTGGTAGCGGTTCAGGATCTTGGACACGCAGCCGTGCGAAACGCGCAGTTGCCGCGAAATCACGCACGGACGCACCCCGGCCGCCGCCAGCTCCACGATCTTCAGCCGAATGTGGTTCGGCAGCGGGCGCCCGTTGATGAACACCCCGCCCAGCTGGTTCACCCGACCCTGACCTGCACAATCAAACATCAGAAATTCCAATGATCATTAAAATTATTGAACCCGGAACAAAATTACAATGAAAAAATTTTTAAAGTTTTAAAATATAAAAAAAAAACGATTTTTATTATTGCGACTATACTAAAACGGACTTATTTGTGTAATTTTTATTAATTTCTTTAGTAAGTTTTAATAATTTGCTAAATAAATAAAAGCTTTCATTAAATTATATCTGCAATGAGAAGTATACTTATTATATTTTTAATCTGTCACACTGTTTGTTATTAATAACATATTAATTAATGATCTTGTGTTATATTAAGCGAGCTGTGGCGAGCCCATGAAATATGATTCTGTATTTAAGCTGAAATATAGTCTTGCAGTTGTTTTTTTAATAAAATATATACACTATAATCTGTAACAAAAGTTAGAGCTATTCATAATTAAGTTATTCATTTCACTGTGAATCTGTTTTCAAAGCCAATAAATTCAAATTATTTGCACATCGCCAAGGAATTAATTTAAATCATAAAAATAATATTATTTTGAATGTATGTTGATTTATTTCAGCAGAGAATGTATTAATCATACTTTTTAACTGACGATGGTCCATTGCAATTTAAGTGAATTAAATTTAAATTTTCCAATAATTTCAACTATAAATTAAAACAAGGTTGTATTTGATAAATTTTACAAGTAAAACCGATGTAATGATTAATTGGGAGGTGAAAAAATATACAGATTGGTAAAATTATTTTGTTCTACATTTCAGCCTAGAAAAAGTAAAAAACAGGCAACATTAGCAAGAAAGTAAACACATTTTAATAAAAAAATTTAAATATATAAATTTGCTAAAAAAATTTGTATTAATATTAAAATATCTTGTTTAATTTTAATATTTAAAAGGTAAAAGATATAGCAAATAATGATTACTATTTTTCTAGAAAATTGTATGTTCTAAATTTTGCCCTTATTATAAAATACATACAATATTACATTATAATTACGAGCACGATAAAATTAGTTAAAGTGGATAATAATAAGATCTTATTAATTTCTGCACAATTTATGTTTTTGGTTTTCATTTTTGATTATAAAAAAAGGAATAACTCCGTGGGATGAATGAGAGTGTTTTCAAAGTGGAATAATTACGGACGAGACAAAGAGTTATGCGCGCTGTCCAGTGCCAGTGAATAAAATAAATCCCACGACTGCGAGTTATGAAAGATGAAAAAATTGGCCGGCCGAGGAACTATGCGCGAGAGAGTGGAGTGAGTGCGCCAAGGAAAAGGGTTGCCGCGCGGTGTTTTGATTGAAATAATGAAGGGGCGCTGCGCTGGCTGGCTGTGCTGGATGGTCGGTAATCCGCCCATTTGTTATTAAAAACACCGCGCGCGCCGGCACATCAAAGGAGCCGCCGTGTAATTCTGCCGTGCGATGCGTGTGTGTGATATTACGAGGCCCGCGTGTGAGAGAGAGAGAGAGAGCTGATGATAAAATGTCACGGCTTAAGCTGCCTGTGCGCGGATTAAACTTCGCGCCGAGCGAGAGAGAGAGAGAAAGACCGACCCTATCGGACGCAATTATCGAACACGACTGACCGACTGACACGAGAAAGAAGCCGCAGATTGACTCGCGCTGATATCTCTCTTTGCTGCAGAGCGATCGACGCCCCCGATATACAAACGCCGCGTAAACGGACCGACAGACTCGTCTTTTTTGAGAGATGCATCATCAAAACTTTCCGAGGAATTCCTCCTTTAACTCCAAACAAAGATCTAAAGGGAATATTTAACTCGTAAAAACATGGGAATTTCTGCTCATCTCTGCTCAGAGTAGGGGGTGAAAAATTCCAACATATTATCTTACAATTGGCATATTATAGTTCATTGAACTTAAAATGATTTGTTTTCAAAAATAAGTTATATTGTGTTAATTTAAATTGTAAAATTTAAAAAACTTAAAAGATACTTTTAAAAAATAAAAGACTGTGTAATTAAAGATGCTGCAATTTAATCTTCTGCAATCAGTTTTTACAAAAATATCATTAAATTTGAATTGAATAGGAAAATTATTGGTATAATGAAAATTAAGCTCTTGATTAATCTATATGAATGTTATTTACTCTCATCAAAAGTATAGAAATCCCTATTTAAACTTATTGTTAGTACTTCTAGTTAACTATAATAATATTAAGAATCATAAAATTAATAAATTAAGATGAATACTTTTTTAATTCCACTCTTTAAATTTAAAAAATAATTTACGTACTGAATTTTTATTTGTGCTAAAAGCATTTTAAAGAGTGTATAGGGATATTTCTGATCTTCCTCTACTTTGGAGCATAACATTAGTATGCCTGGACCAAAAGTCGTATAAATTTGCAACTTTGTGTCTTCGGCGCAACGAAATCGCAGCAGTAAAATTGTTGAGTGTGACTTTATAGTTCTACGAAACACTTCATCATCGCGCGGCGGCAGTTTTATTATTCCCTCTCTCTCGTTTTCCTAATGCACACGTTTCAGACGGACGGAGAGACAGAGTGACCAAAATATGAAAATGATATTTACAAAAACTGAAAAAATTTTATCCCCAGACTGAATAAATGATAATTAAAGCATTCTGCTCAACACAGCTCTATTCCTTTTTTTTCTGTATGGAGTATTTTATGCATTTAAAGATATTTTTCTATTCATATATATTTAATTGTTGAAAATTAATAATAAAAAAAAAGGATGATAATAATATTATATTTTCTATAAAAATTGTTTCATTCCTGTTTTCTCTCTTTGCAAATAAGCACGGAATGAAGCAAACTGCGTTGTTTCTTTTTCCAAATGCACAGACTGCTTTAAAACTGTTGATCTTATAATCGATTGTTGTCTCGTATGCTCTGCTGTTTTGCACCCAAAGTCAGGTGGTTAACAGTCTTTTGAAAACCACAATTTTCACTTACGATGAGTGAAAACACGGTCCCCTTTTCAGGGCCACTTATGTAACCAATGAAAAGATATTATAATTTCTATTAGATTTTTACTCTTATTTAAAAAATAAAAGAAAAATAAAAATTAAATATGATAATTTGCAGAAAAATTGTGACTGTACCTTGAAAAGGGTATCCGGTGGTGAAGTAGGGTGCCATGGTGGTGCTCTCAGGTGCTGCTCTCAGGTGCGGACGGAGCGGCCACCTGTGCGCTTCTGCGGTGCCGCGGCCGGCGGTGGGCGCGAGGGCCTCGAGAGCCGAAGACGCCCCGCCCCGCATGGCGGATCGGCGAACGGTCCATTGGCCTCGAATGACTCGGAAGGCGGGACCACGACCCAACAATGGATCCGAGTCAACAATGCTGAGAGCGTTAAACTCGCCAAGCACCCTCGGGGGAACTGCGAGGGGTGCGAAAGCAAACGACGTGTCAAGTTTTTTACCCTCTCCGACGGCCATGATCATAAAATAATGTTCCTCTATTTTTAAATTGAAATTTATTGTTGGGAGAGAGCATAGGAAATATTAACTGTAATTACTAAAATTTGATAAATAAAGTTTCAAAAGGGAATTTTCGTCTTTGAGCTTTCACGATTTCTTGAATAAAGGTGTATATTTTTACTTAAAATCTCTTAACGCCTCTATAAACTCAAGAACACTTCTAAAATTTAAAATTTCACTTACGATTTTAGTGTTTTGCGAGATTAATAATGTTTTTTCTCCAGCCCGCTTCCAAAATTGCTACAGAAGTACCTAAAAAGATCATGTCAGGATTATAATTAAAAATAAATTAAACTCACCGAAGCCCTCATGTTTATGGTACAAAAAGATCCCAGATAACCAAATAAAAAATTTACATAGTAAAGAATAGACTAAAGGCCGATGAATTTTACATAAATCAGGCCCAAAATTAAGAATTTTTTTAAGGGAAGACTATAGATTGTATGCAACCGGCTCGACGTATATGAGAGAAGGATAGTATAATTATGATGTTGTTGAAAGGGTTGCTTAATCGCCACCTCTGAAGCTTTGCCCCACATTAAAATTTTTTTTTCCAAAACGTAAATATGATCAATGATTGTCCTTTGTACAGATTTGTATTTAATGATTGTCATTTTTACACAACAAGCTAAATAAATAAAAAAAAAATACAATTTTTATAAAAGGACATAAAAACTTTTTTATAATACCAGTAAGTTGTTATCTATAAAAGTGATTATTTGGTGTACACAAAATAAAAAAAACCTATATATTCCCTGTTTTGATGGCGCGTGGTCTTTTTTTGGGGCACTTTTTATCTTTGATTTTGACGAAGATTTGTCTTGACATAAACTCGTCGATTTAAAGGAAAAGATGTTCACATCACTTTGGCACTTTTATTGTGCATACAAGTACACGCGGCTGTTCTTTGAGGGACCACCCGGTCTGGGTGCGACGCTTGATTTGGCGGCCGATGGGGCGGAAGAGAGCACGGGGGCGGAAGGCCGCGATTGTTGCGTCGCAAAAGAGCAGCAGCATAAATCAAACGCACAATAAAATCACAATGAAAAATAACGAATTGAATCTCGCGCATTCGCTTCCATTGTGCACGACGATTGGATTTATCAAGAGCAAAATGGGAACATTCAACATAGCGGATGAAAGCTATAAAAAGTTTTAAATGCCGGCGTTATTTATTGCGTGTTTTGTGTTGAAAAACAAAAAGTAACAGACGTCGTCGCTTCGTGTGTGATCTCTGGCTCAGAAAAATGTTATTACTTTTATTTTTTATGTTGTTAAAATAAATTGAAGTCATAAATTAGTTCAAGAACATATATTATAAAACTAATCAATGAAAAAATTATAAAGTTTTGAATAAAATGTTAACTCTTGTCAGTGCAGAGAAAAATTAATAGATATGAAAATTTAAGCAAATTATCTAGAAATAAAATAGAAGTAACAACAAAGAATAAGTTTAAAGAAATTATCATCTGATTTCTATTGCATTTTTTCGCAATTTTGAACTAACTGTAACCACAAAAATTTTCGAAGTATTGATTGCGTGAGAAGAATATTTTTTAGATTGGTCAAGAAATAGAACAGAAGGGTTTCGGTCGGACGCTCCGTTTCGTGTGGGAAGCAGAGTGGAAAATCGATTTTTCGCAGCCGATTTTCGCACGAAACGTCGCTGCTGCTTTTGCTACGTTTGTCACCAAAACATCCGTCGATTGGAGAGAAAAGTAACGGGGACAAGCAATAATAATTATTTCTCGGATCGACGTCGTGACGACTGTCCAGTATAATTTACATTTCCTTTGCTCCATCTTGAAAAAATGCATCGGCACGTATGCAAATCCCTCCGTTAGCTTAATAATCGCTGGCTGCAGAGCTTTCATGAAATTATAGAGCCGCGTGCGTGATCTGTACGCCCACACATCGACAGAGACCCACAAAAAATTTAAAACGTGACTTTTGAGCACACTCATTTGAATGAATAATTATATCAAAAAAATGTTGGTGCGTCCCCCAGCAAATAGGAGGAAATCTGGGGGAAATGAAAAATAACTTTTAACTTCCGCTATCAGCAAAACTGAATGGCCATTGCTTGAGATTGCTTTTTTTTTAATTCCATATTTTTATCACAGCGACCTCAATTTTATAAAAAAAAGGTTTTTAAATTATTAAAATTGAATTGAGCTAATCAGAATGAACAGAATGTAATTTAAAAGTGAAACAGTTAATTTAAAAATTGAATTTATCCATAATAATTAAAGAGACAAAGCATTCTCGATAACATTTACTCTTCTGGCTAAATATAGATCTTTGCTTTCTTAAATAAATTTTGGCATAACACATGATGATTGACAATTGTGAGTAGAATAAAATAATATGTAATTTTGAGGTTATTTAATTTTAATTTTGCTGATTTCCTACATATCCTGTCTTGAATTGATAAAAAAATCCATAGTTTAAAATCCCCAGCTTAAATTTCTAAGAAAATAGTATCTCTTTAGTATTTCTTCTTTAAAATAAAGCACTTTATTTTTTCGCATAAAAAACAGTTGAACTTGAATATTTTAACCTTTTTAAGATACATGCACATACACAAAAAAGCAGCAGGGTTTCTCTTATATTCTCCCTCATCTGAAGAGCTCTCTTGATTCACAAGTATCAAGTATACTTTTGAAGCGGCCAATTTGTAATCCCAAGAGGTGGAAATCTTTTTCAAAATTTGAAAAGTCAAATCCCTTGGGCCCGTTTAACTGTCAATAACCATCAAAACGGTGACTTTGCTTCTTTTCCTCTCTCATATTTTCTTTCTCCTCTCCAGAAAAACATCGAAAATATCCTCAAGAGAGCCACGCAAGTCGGATTTCGAGTGCTTTTGTGCCAAGCCGCGCCGCGCGAGCCAATACGTTATACACTTTTTGATAAAATATTTCCCTGATGCGTGTGATGAATGGGCCGCCTAATAGAATTGCGCTTGTTATTAACTCGCCAGCGGTGCCACAGAATAATAACAGATGAGCATCAGCCACCCAAGAGGAGACCATAAATTTTATTCTCAGCAAGGATAATATAAAAATATTCACAGGGGACTCCTTTTAGGCGCAAAATATGCTGTGATGCAGCGACTCTTAAAAAGCTTTGTTGTTTGTCGCGAGTATAATAAGCAGAAGCGGTGATGTCAAAAAGTTATGTTCCTTCAGCAGAGACAGAGGGGGACACATTCTGCTTGTCCAGTTCATTAAATCGTTTTTGTTAAGTTGAAAAATAATAATGCACATTTGTAAAAGTGTCATATTTGTATACTGTATAATAATAAAACACAATATTAAATGGAAATGCTAAAAAAGGTTTAAAATAAAAATTATACATTGAGCGATTTTAGCTTATCAAAACGTTTTGTGTTTTTTTTCTGTTTCCAAAAAGATTAAATCTGCAGTAAAAATCAAGAATTCAGCACACTGAACTCATATTTTTGAAAATTCTTTAGCGCGTGAAAAAATCATAGGGCTAAAAAAAGTTCCGTGTGAACTTGTAATTTTAATATTTTCTTCTAACAATTCATATAATGCTATTATTCCAAAAAGGTTTATTATTAAAAAATTGGATATGATTATAATGCAGAGTGAATTCATCTGTCACGATTTGAATTTTTCGCTGGATTTTATTATGCTTCAAATATTCACTTCTTTATGTTTAAAATTAAGATACACAAATCTTTTGTTACTGAATTTAATGAAAGTTTTAAAACATTGAGTTGTAGAGGTTTTTATTTGTTTTATTATAATTTTCTTCGTTACAAATTTAGTTCAGTTGAGATGAATTTAAGATTTATATCTCAAGAAATATGCACTTATTTGAAATAAAAATTAACTGATTAAAAAAGTATTGATCAAGGGCAGCCATTAACGTAGCCGTCACAGCCATAAGGATTGGGCCAAGTGCAGACCAACGGCAGAGGGTCAAACTCCAACCCTCCAGGGCAGTCAAATGCAACGGCGTTTCCGTGGTCACACTTGCAGAAACGCGAGCAGTTGTTTGGGTAGGGGATCAAATGCCGCCAATCTTCGGCACACAAACGCCGGACGCACGACGGACAAGCGTCCGAAGGAAGAGCCACGCATCCTCCATAGGCCGCCCCAACCACCACAAGCAAAACTATAAACACGAAAAGCCAGATATTTTTTAATGAAATTAAAAAAAATAATAATTCTACCTGTCAGAGTAAAAATAAATGTTGTCATGTCAGATCAAGTTAATGCACTACTAAGTGGTATTTGGGTTTTTAGAGGCCTCCGCTCTAATTGTCGTTTATTATGTGATCAGATAAAGGTTATGGTCAGCCGCACTCGGCCGCTCCGATAGTCGCAATCAGTGCAAACAAATCGCTTTCATGTTTTCCGCTGGCTCATGATACATAATAGGGATTAATTTGCTGTGACAGCGGCGGTTAATTAAGCACCCTTTGATCTCGGACTTTAGCGTCCTGGCCTATGGAGGTCACCACCTGACCAGGGTAGACTCGGAAATTCACTTCTTGCCCGCCAGAGGCCGCCTCAGTTCAGAGTCTACAGCATTTAATTGTGAAGGCTAGGCAACCGGATTTACGACCATGCTTAGCGTGCTGCATAACGTTTGGAAACAACAAGTTTGGAAACTTCGATGCAACAATAAGAAGCAGAAGCAGAAAAAGGAGAAAATTAAATAGATTGTCAGGAAATTTAAAACGCGTCCAAATTAAAAAAAATTCATTGTATCTGTTCAATCTTTGATAATAATTTTGAAATAATTACTTCCCGCAGCATCATTTGTGGATTTTTTATTTTTATTTTATAGAGTATCAAGCAAGTTATTTTTAATGAATTGATTTCTTAAATTTATGTGACTAGTTTCTAGTTTTATAAAATACTGAAAAAGCATTTAGATTTATAGAGATTTAAAACTTAAAAATTCTTCTATAATTGTTAAACAAGTTGAAATTAATGGTTCTAATTAATTAATATTTGAAAGAAAAAAACGATTTTGAAGTATCTTAGAAATAATTTTTAAGTAAGAGGTATAATTAATTATTAACTGAAGTTTCACTTATTTGATGAAAGTTAAATCTTTTCTCTTGAGTGTAAATACGAAGAACATTTCAACGTGATAAATGTGATAGGTATGAAACCCGCACGATTCGGATGCTCTTCAGGTTGCATAACTGAATATTAACAGGCGCTTTAAAAGTGCTAAGTTGTTTTTTTCTGAATCTAAGTTTGTTTATTTTTTGTCACAAAAACTCTTTAAATGTCAATATTTCGATCAAAAATGTGTCTTTGATTAAAAAAAATAGAAAGCCACAATAATCTTGTTTTGTCAGACCCCAAATTGGACCAAAATAAAAACACCACAAGTTCTTTTAAATTGAATCGAATATAAAAATATCAATATCACTCTTTATTTATTTCCTACAAATTAGTTTATGTACAATACATTCATTTCCTTAATTTATTTTTTCCTTCTTATACAATGAGAGAAGTGCGGCGAACATCAGAAAAGTGGAATGAGAAAAAAATCTTATATATAATGAAGCTCTGTGTCAACATGGACGAGGGAAACCGCAGACTTGCGGCCGGCGATGGGGAGAAGCAAGAAATCAATCGGGGCTGCTCGTTAGGCGGCCGCGGACGGACGTGAGTCGCTGCTCGCTTCCCATGACGAGATCAATGAGGAGAAAAAGAGGCGCCGCTGCAAATACGGCCTCACCATGGCCGCCACATTTGCTGCTGCTCTGGCTGCTGAGCCACAGGTTGACGCAGGCCGTCCGCGCACTGCCCAAGGTGGTCCACAATTCGACGTGAAACCTGATAAGAACAAAATAAATTCATTAATTCACTCTTGAGAAATGGAATTTTGAATTCTGACTTGAAATTTGAAATGAGAAACCTTAAAAACATATAAAAAGGCACCACCAAACAATACAACTTTTGGAAAACCATTTCCATTTTATTACTCTGAAAATTAAAGTAGAATTAAAACTAGAAACCATTTTTTTTTATAATTTTTCTTATTTCTATTTAGTATTAAATTGCTAAAAATATAAATCAAAATTTTTTAGAAAAATTAAATGCGTATCTTATATAACTTTCATCAAATATTAGCGACCTGAGGAAGGTGAAATTTTTCAAACTTTAAATATAATTCAATGCATATTTGGTGTCATTTCATAGATTATAAAGTTTTCCCAGTCCAATTAAAAGATGTAGAAACTGATAAAAATCGAAGTTTGCACTGTTTAAACATATTTTTAGACTAAAATTTTTGAAGGATACCGACCTGAGGGTCAAGTCCTGGCAAGCTGAGCAGGAAGTGGCAGGCTTCAGAGGCGCACTGGCTGAATCCAGCCTCGAAGCGACCTTCAACCGGCTCCTCTGCGGGCGCGTCTTGTTGGAGGCGGTGAAGGTGGCGGACGGTCAGTTCAAGGATGTCCGCTTTTTCCAGTTTGGAGACATTTTCGCCTTCGGTCTGCAGGGCGGACACCACCAGCTCTTTCAGTTCGTCCAGACAGCGGTTGATTCGCGCACGGCGTTGACGCTCAAGAAGAGGCTTTGTGATCTAAATAAACATGATTTGAAAGGTAAATATTGTGCAAGAAAAATTTACTAAAAATCAGAAAACGTAGTGTGCTAAAATTGTATATATGCAATTACATAAAATTAACAATGAAGATAATAAAACATAATAATCGGGTAAGAAAGTAAATTGTAATCAAAGCTATACTATTTGAACTGTGATAAAAAAAAATAATATGCTAAATTTAATGAACACAAAATAAAATTAATTTAATTTAATACATATTTCACAGTAAAAAATTAGAGAAAAAAATAAATAACTAATTGCTAACAACGCTACAAATTTTTTGAACCAAAAATAATTTGAAGTTCAATAAATTAAACAAAACATTTTTGCAAAATTTAAAAATAAAAAAGCAAACATTCCTACGTCAAGCAAATTTGATTAAATTTTGAACAAGGAAAACATGGTTACATCACATTTTAATTATATTTCGTTTTAAAATAAAAATTTTCATTTTATTATAAAATTTTAGGCCTGGTATTATAATTAAAATTAAAGAAAAAGCATTCTAATTATTCTAATAAAAAAAAAATGAGAAATAATTGTCTGGCGTAAAAAATTAGTTTGGGTGTGGTGCAAATTGCATACCTTTTTGTATCGCTGCGTCCTGGAGATGGGCGCGTGCAGGTCGTGGGGTCCTTGCGGGGCCAGCATGGTGGGCCGACTGCGGTGCCGTCGGTCGAGGCGGCCTCCGATCGGCGAGGCCCCGCCCCCGGTGCCTCCGTCGCCGTTGAATGTGTGGGAACGCGCGCCTCCGTTCCCACACTCACGCGGGCGCCGAAATGCTGCTGCACCTGTGCCCCGTAACAACACACCCAGCGGCCGTCCAACGAGCACTTGTCGCACTTCAGGCCCATTAGCATCGTTTTTATTATCCTGCGTACTCAGCAAACGTGCGTGATTTTGCTCCTGCATTATTTATTCCCCGTCCGTGTACAAAACAATAACAAGCAGGAAACTCTGATTTGAATATTAAATTCGCTTTGTTTATATGCGCCGGTGATTTAAACGCACGCGTGATTGCATCACAAAAAATTGCTCATATTTAGGAAAAGGAAAAAAATTAACTCCTGCAATTAGTTTATCTGCAAAATGTAAATGAGCCTAGTAAATAGTCTTAATTTTCTAATATTGAGCAAAAATAATTAAACAATTTAAAATAATAAAATTTAAATTTACTGCACAGGTTAGAAAATCAAATCTATATATATTTAGTAAATAATTAACATTTCTTCCAGCAAAACGTTTTATTTTCTTGCAGCACCTATTTTTGATTTTGTTGAGAAAAAAGGTATAAAATTATAAGTGTTCTCCACATAAAAAACATAAAACTCATTTACTTCATAAAGCTCAAATAATATAAAACCCAAATTTTTCAGGAATCCAAATGCCTTAAATTGTTTAAATTGAATATTTTGAATGAAGACTTACTTAGAAAAATTAACCATTATGAGCGGCTGATAAAATATGTATATAATAATATGCGAAAGATCGCAAATTTTTATCCAAGCTTCATTACTTTATTAATTTATAGTGAGAAAATTGAAAAAAATAAGGTATTAAATTTTTATCTCTTTCTGTGTTTAAATCGCGGCGCTTAAATTTTTCCTCGGAATTTTTCAAGATCAGTGGAGCGAAACGAGTGTTTGCTTCAATCTGTCTTGCGTGGCTTGCGAAATCATCTCTTTCTCTCTCGTGATTGATTCTGCCAAGAAATTTGCGCTCGTTAACTATTTATGCGTCCGCATCAATTCGAGATTTCCTCGAATTTACGAACCAGATCGATAGACTTTTCAAGGTTTTAAATTTTCTTGCGTAATTTCGTCCCCTCGTCTTTTTGGTTTGAGACGTTTTTTTATTATAAATTGACAAAAGACGTTAGAGCCGGGGTGCTGTGCTGCGGGTCGTTTTCTTCTCTTCTCTTTATTCGTCTGTTGTAAGAAAAGTGCACGAGCACCGTGGGGGATGCTGGCTGGTATATTTCATTAGACAACAAAAGTCTGCCGGGCGTGGGAGCGTCTCGCTCGCTCGTCTCTTTCTTGAAAGGGAGCTGTGCAGCGGGCACGTGCGCGCTCCAAGTTCGCTCCTCACCTGCCGCACTTTCCCACGCCAACGAATCTTCCTTCGCATCTGCATCGTCTTAAGATTTACTTCTTCTTCTTCATCTTCTCTCCCAACCGAAAAATTACGCGCTCGGCTGCTGCACGAATCTGGAGATCTCTCACTCAAATCTTTTTTTATAAGCAGGGAAAACCCTCTGTAGGACTTTCGATTACTCAGTATTTATTATTTTTTTAAAGTTTTTTTTCATAGCCTGGAGGATTGAACTTTATTTCTTAGAGGTCGAGAAACTTAGAGATACTGATTTGAAACTTGGAGGAAACATTAAAAGCCTTTTAAACGATTGACACTGAATTGGTTTTAAACGATAGCGATCATCCTGTTGGCCAAAAGGAGGTTTTCCAGGGGACAGGAAACTACTTCTTGTTTTGATCTCATTTTAGTCGATTTTGTCTTTAGAAAACATGACATAATACAGTGCGTCCACCTGCATGCAAGTGGAAGTAATTTAAATAGACACGCAACCGTCTGATGCGCTTGGAGACTGAGCATTTAAATACAGGTAAATTCAACAAAAATGAAAAATAAACACAAAATAAATTTTTAAACTAAATGATTTTTACAATTCGATATTCATGCACGTTTATTTCAAATTTTAATCATTTATATAAGACGTAAAAAAAGTTTATCTTCAAATAATTTAAAATATACATTTTGTTATTTGAATAATTAATCTTAATTTTATATTATCATGAGCTCTTGAATTTAAGGATTAAAAACAGCCAGAATTTTATTATTCTTTTTTGTTGAAAGAAATGTTCAAGATTTTATTTCTTGCCCCTGCTTAATCATTTACTTTTTTTATTTCAAAACACACAAGAATTTTCACCAACCCACAATTTTTTTTTTGTTCAAAGGTCTAAATATGTCTTATATTTAGTAACCTGATGCACATTTACTATTTCATATTTATTGATTTATTAACGTTCTCTCTTGTTTGTGACTTAATTAATTTCAGATTATTTTTCTAATAATTATCAAAATATTTCCAAGGTACATTTCATTCCGTGTTAAAATTATTGATACTAGTTATGTGAGAATTCAAAATATACATCAGAATATCTTTCCAGCTAATGGCGATGTCAGTTTGCAAAATTTTAATCAGTTGTGGTTATTCATTATAATCTTTTTTAATTAAAAAAAAATATATATTATAAAAATATATTATATTATTGACTGGTTGCTTTTTGATAATTTTCATTTATTTGCAATTTACAAAAATTTTAATTTAAACAAAGTTCCATTAATTTTTCAGCGTCCTTTGTACAAATTGACCACGCTGGATCGACACCGGAACAACAAAGGAAATATACATCGCGTTTGCTCTCGCGCGTCCCTTTTGCTCACTCTGCATGGCCATTCAAATGATCTCGCTGCCGCGTGTGTGTGATTATGCAGATGCGGGGAAAAGTGGCGCGCGGATTGCTCTCGCTCGCGTGCATGTTTGTCGCCGGTCGCTACAGTGATGGTCATTATCGCAGCACCAGAGCACAATGAGATCCAGACGGCTCGCGCGATTGGGACGGACGGCCGGACAGACGATTTCAAAAGCGGAGGCACGCACGAATTATTCATCATCCTGCGGGCGCGGGCGGGCGGTCGCATGCAAATAAAACACAACGACAAAAAAATCAGGGCGCAGCTCCAAACTGCTTCCGGAGAGAGATAAAATTATTTTTAAACATAAGCAGAAATAAAATAAACCAGATGACTTAAATTCACGTTTTGCCTTGACAAAATAAAATTGCAAAAAAAATTAGAGAACATTTAAACCAAAAATGTTTGTTCCTAACAGTGAGATTATACTTCATCTGGAAAATTGAATACTCTTTAAAAATACAATTTTATTAATTATATAATAAAATTTTCATATAATATTTCGTTTTCTTCTCTAAATCAAATTAAATTGTGCGCTCACTTTCAATTTTTGTTTATTCATCTCTTTATTGGCAGCTATTTTGCCTTTGCCATAAATCAATAAATATTGCAAATTATAGAATTTTATTTGCAGCTTTTGCATGACTAATGACCAAATTTCAAAATGATATTTCAAATTTATTCTCGCGAAATTTTTGGTTATATCTTCAGAACTAAATATGTGGTGATTGATTTTAAAATATAAATAATCATTTCACTATTTTTCACTCCAACTAAGTTGCACAGAACATTTCAAATCAACATTAATTAGTACATCAATTTTTATAATAAAAAAGTCTCAAAATAATAGCAAAATATACTCAAAATAAAGATATTGAGTTATTATATAGAACCAGCAAATCCCACAAGCTATAACTTTTAGCATGAGAATATCCCTCAATGTATAACTAACAATTTATCCTAAAAGCTAAAAAATATTAATCTATCTGAGATCTGAATGGGTGTGTTTAAAAGGAAATTATCAATTAGTAACATGCATGGCGGTTTTTTTTAAGATTCGTCGACCATGATGCATCATTTTGTGATATGTTGCTATATTCGTCTATAAATTTTTTATTATTGTATATATACAGAACCCTTGTTTGAACTCGCCTTGTATAATTCAATTTACTGATTTGAATCATTTTAATAGAAGGGGCACAATAATTAAATAATAAAAATTAATTAAATTGTTCTCAATCTTTTCTCACTTGAATAATTAGTATGTAAAAAAAACTGATAATAATAATAATAATAAAGCACTCGGACGACACGCAGGATGAAGTGGACCGTCCGGTCTCGGCTTGATGTATTTTTTATATTTGAATATAGCAGCATGAGAGTCACGCGAGAGCGGAAATGTAATCGCTGCTTCCCGCGTATGTGCTGGATTAATTCGCTTTGGCTCGCTGGCTCGCGCGCTCTCGCCGCGTTCACAGGTGGAATAAATGTCGGATTCCTGTGTGCTCTTTTCGAAATCTCTCATGAGACTGGATTTGTTCATATTTTATTCAAATTCGGCCGCGTGCATGCATGGGAAAGTGACCTCGCGGCTTCCGCTCGCGAATTAATTGCGTTTTGCTGTCAACCGTGCGCGGCGCGCGCTCCTGGGAAAACGGAAGTCAAATTCGATTCTATCGGCGGCTCGGAAACAAAACACGGCACGACGGTCACGTTTAAATGTCTCTTGGCTTGAGAAACTGTCCTTACTCGTCAAAGCAACCGGGACCTTAATGGGCGCGTCCTTTGTTGGCCAATTGACTCCCCTTTGCTGCAATAACATACAAATGCGCTCTGAGGAAATTCGAAAGGAGAGCAGCAGATCGTTATCTTTGTCCAAATGCAGCGGCTCATTGTTTGTCACTTGATGCGCCTGATATATCTGCTGATCTGTGCTGGCGAACACTTTAGTTGAAAAAGCATTAAGAATTAGGAATCTGGGAAACTTTGGAATTTGCAAAACTCTTTTCTTGCTGTTTTACATGATTAATAAAAATTAAATCCAAATTTAATGCTTATAAGTTATTTTCTCCCAATCATAAATTCAGATCTTATCAATTCAGATCTTCCAAAGGTCAAAAAGTAAATTTTTAATAAAAATTCATTAGTTGATAACCCGTCTGGGAAAAACTCTGATAATAGTCATAAAATATAGTAAATTTAATAAAAATTTAATTACTCAATTTTATCTATTAATACTAATTTAAAGTTAATTTTTAACCTATTATTTATTTTTGTTGTTTATTACAAATTTTTTTTATTATTATTATTATTTATTCTTCTCGGTCTGTACACAAATTTTTTAAATTGGAGAAAAAAAGAGAAGAAAGGGTTTACAACTAGCAGATGTCTGCTAAAACGCCCGACATCAAAAGAGATACGGCCGCCGCGGTAAACCCAAAATTTAAAACAATTTTCACCAAAAATTGCAAAAATTTCTAAAATATATCATAGAAAAGCATAAAAATGATCAAATTTGAGAATTGAACATTGTGAAATATTTTTCAGATCGAAATTGTACACCTCATGAGCTTCAGGCACACGTACAGTCCAAAATTGAGGAAATTATTCTTCTTTTCCCGCATATCTGCAGCGTTAACCCTTGCAACGTGTATTAATATCTTCTTTTTTTTCCTTCTTTGAGTCAGTTGCGATAAAATCGTGACTGAGGAATAATAAATTTAATTTTGAATAGATTTATAGTATAATTGTAACTTGAATATTTTTATAATTTAAAAAGAAAAGAACAAGAAGTTTCTTTATGAGCTTTCAATCAAATTTTAACCTATGATGTGCATTTTGAATCCTATATTAAATTGCTAATTTTATTGCAAATAAATAAACAGCAAAATGTACTATAAATATCTATCAAACTCAATTATTATGAATATCAAATGAAAAATTTTAATTAAATGAATTAATATATTAAAAAAAATTAAGTTATTTGATATTAAGTTATACTACAAATTATTTAAAAGTTTCTTATGCTTTATAATTACCAACATAGTTACTATTGTATTTTTTTTTTTTTTTTTGTAACTATGATTTTATCAGGGAATTATTACATTATATATGGATTGAAAAGCAACGTCAAATTCATTTATCAGTTCTGCTGATTTATTGGAACCTCCACAACTATATAACCAAACAGCATAATTCATATTATATATCAAATATCAAATTCAAATAAACTGAATCCATACAAAATTATTTCTCTTATTTACATACGCATATTTAAACAAACAATATAATCTCGGTCATTTCTCATTCAAATCTGGACATATATTTTAAAACAAACATTTTTTGCTTTTTTCAGGTACGTATCACAGTCTTTTAGGCTCGGAGGGCCGCGGATGAGATTACCAGGGTCTCCAGACGCCGTGAGTGGCCGACGCTTCTACCTCGGTGTCGGTCAGCGGGGGGCTGAGGGGCGGCGTCTCGGGGCGGCCAGAGGTCGACTCGAGTTGCTCGAGACGCTGTCCGAGGTGGGCAAGGAGTCGCTGTCCGAGTTGCGGGTCGACGGTGTCTGCATCGGACAGGCAGCGGGACACTTCAGAGGCGCAGTGGCTGAAGCCGGCGCGGAAACGGTCGGCAAAGGAGGACGGCCGGCGTTGTTGGCGGCGGAGGCGCTGGAGGTGGCGGACGGTCAGCTCGAGGATGTCCGCCTTCTCCAGCTTGGAGACGTTTTCGCCTTCGGTCTGCAGGGCGGACACCATGAGCTCCTTCAACTCGTCCAGGCAGCGGTTGATGCGGGCGCGGCGTTTGCGTTCAAGCATTGGTTTCATCACCTGAAGACAAAAATGCAAATTTAGTCAAATTGTCATTCAATAATTAATTGGGAAAATAATTATTTAAAAAACAAAGTTGAAATTTAATAAAAAAAAATGTAAATTAAATCTCTGTTGGATGTATAACAGTAAATCATTACAGCTTTAAAAGATTAAAAACTATTCAATTTAATTGAAAAGAAAATTAAAAATATAATAAAAAAAATCCACATTTGTTTCATTTTAATTAATTTAAAAGAACAAATAATTAAAATTCAACTGAAATTCCTAGATGGAGCAAATGGAGCTCCACATAAGTTAAAAAATTAATTGGAACCAAGACCAATGAAACCAAATTTACTCAAAATATTGCATTCTTTACAAATTAAACTGTTAAAAAGCGATTTCTACCATTCAAAAGAAAAATAATATAAGTGGAATTAATAACTGACCTTTCTGTATTGATAGGTGCGAGAGATGGGCTGCTGGTCTGGACCAAGGCAGGTTTGTTGCTCGGTTGCGTACATGGTTCTCTTGGGTTTTTTCGATTTTGGAAAGGAACTCGTCCGATCGGCACGACGGCGTTCGTCGGAATGAGGGTCTCAGTAGCGGACGGACCGGACCGTGGACGGGAGGGGAGGGGGGAGCCGCCAGGTGCGAGGCCCGTGCGCCGTGGGAAACGAGAGTCGCGTTCCCACACTCGGAGGCAGCGACGGAATCCGGCAGCCACCTGTGCTCTTTCGCGGCCTCCCTATGTCTTTTGCTCCTCGCGAGTACACAAAACCAATTCCTCCGATTATGCATGATAAAAGCAGGGGACGCGCGGCTGCATGGGAGCCGCGTGCTCGCGCAAAACCATTGATCACGCGCGCGCGTGCAAAAAAATTATTCGAGAGGCGGCAAACGCGTGCTGTAATGCAAATTCCTCTTAAGAAAAATTCAAGGGAATTTTTTCAGGTAGTCTCTGTTAAATTGGTAAATTAAATATTTTTGAATTACTCACAAAAGAAAAGTATGGTTTCCAGAAAGTTTCCAACTTGCAATCATCATTTGCATACTTATTTCTGCATATTTGTTCCATTTTCTCTGATGCTCTTACTTTTTAAAAATAATTTTTCGTCTTGGATTAAGTTACTTTTATGTTAATGGAGTATTAAAGAAAATTAACAACTGAATAAAATAAATCATAAAAATTAAAAAGCTTTTGAATAAAAAAATCTCGATGTATTTCAGTGTCTTTAAATAATTTTTTATTTATAAGCCGCATCATTTGATTCCCTCAAATTTGAATTAAAAATAGTTCAGGAATATTCATTTAATTAATCACCTTTAACGTTATTACGACTCATTCTTTTTCTAAAATATGCATTAAATTTTTTATTTTAAACTTGAAGTGCAATACTGCATTGCGTTTTCTTAAAAGGCGCGATATAAACCTGATGGATTATCTAAAGGCATTTTATTGTACCGCTGGCCTTTAAAAGCTTGACAGTAGTCGAAGTCGCGTCTGGGAATTTTTTTGTCTTTGCTCAAACAGGAGATCAATGCGGGCATGGTAGAATGTGTTGGTTTAAAAGATCGCCTTTGTCCAGTGAGAAAACTACACTGGAGGTCTGTCTTTCTCTCGGTTCATGGTTATTTGGTCAATGTACCACAACGAGGTCCACCCAAATCCAATTTCCAGGAAAAAAAAAACATGTTTATTTTACCTATAAAAATATTTTTATTCATAAAATTTAGATGAAAATTTGGGAATTTCTAGTTTATTGACATTTTATAAAATATTAATTTATAGATACGAATTTTTTTTACTGCAGAAACCCAAATAAAAACTCAATGATAATAAATTATTAACTCCATGACTATCATGAAACCCTAGTAGAAAGAACGCTGTTTTGGTTGGAATTTTAGTTGGAATTATGGTTGGAAAATTTGATTGGGAACTTGAATTATTATATTTTAAATGTTTTTTTTTTTACATTTTTTTTTAAATCAATTAGCTATTTTTTAAATAAATTAAATATTATTGAAAAACAGAATGAAAATAAAGTTAAAAACGGTATAATAAAAATATAGTGCTAAATTTTTATAAATTGAAGAACAATTCAAAATGAAAACTTGACACTTCTTATTCACTTCACTATACAGAGTTTCTATGTTTTGTGTTGAAGAGGAGCAGAGCGTGTTTGACTTTTGGTTGCACCGTGTTAGTACCGTTTGCTCCGAAGAGTGCCAGGCGCACAGGAAACTCTAGAGAGTCGCTCGCGCTCTCTCGCTCTCCTCGCTCGGGCCTTACGGCGGAATTCCAGTAGCTGGGTTATTTTTTACACTTCACGCAAACAAAAATTTTGATTTCGCCCTTTTGCTTAGGTGAATTTTATTTATGTTGAAGTAAATCGGTTTCACGCTTCCATTTTCAAAATCGTTAGTTTGTGATGCCGGACAAATTGGTCCGTGGGAAAGACTGCAGAACGAGACGGCCGGCACGTGTTCCGATTGCGAAACGACCAGAGAGATTAATTCGCTTCTCGTGCGCGCCGCCGCAAGTCATTCTCTCGCGTAACAACCCGCTCAAGAGAGATTGCCAGCAAGCGCACGCCAAACGGACACCAACAGACTGTACGTACAACGAAGATGCAAAATGGACTATAAAAGATGAAAATTTCAAATATCCTAAATGATGATGTCCAACCAACGGAGATTACAAAAAATTTGTCGGTAGAAATTAATGTTCTTTTTCTGGGTTAAAAACAGTTTTTTATATATTGTTTAGCAGAAAATATACATAATTGATATTATTTTTCATATTATTGATTTTATGCTCCTACAAAAAATTCAGAGAGAAGCAAACACAAATTTTTTTATTTTTACAGAGTTTTACTATTTTTTAACTCTTTTCTTTTATAATCTCCACATACTTATAATTTCAACTTTTTTTTAATATTTTGAAACTGTTTTAGAAAACTTTCAAAATTAACTTTACACTTTACGTTATTGTTGCATTTAATATGGACACAATAATATCATGTTATTAAAATAAATAAATTTTAATCAATAACCATTTACGTACACAATTTTTTGAAATTAAAACAATTATATTATTATGAAAATTTAATGATGATATTAAAGCTTCCGTGAAAAAATGCTCTGATTTGAATCTTGAATGAATCCGCCTCCGAATGGACACGCAATTTATTCATTTTCCTTTCCCACGACCCGCTCTTTTCTTCTGCTTTTTTGGTAATAGTATAAAAAACTAGAGAAACAAACTCTATTTTATTATGCCAAAATATATCTGGCCGCTTGTATTTGAGATTTGAGTCGTTTCTTCCTTTTCTCACCGTTTTCGGTCATCGCGTGTGCTCTCAAGGAATTTGTTCGAACCCTTTTTTTATTTTCCATCATCATCTCATAATTTTTTCCTCTCTCTCTCTGCGCCGGCGGTTGCATCAGTTTGTTTTCTTCATCGCGTGCTCCATTCATCCACGTCGGTCTGCTTTATGGTTTCCTTTATAGCCTCGATCGAATTCATTCACACGTGGCGGCGACGAGAGAGAACGACGATGGTGCTCATTGATGCTGGGAATGCGCCGCGTGTGCCTTATGGCGTGAAATCGAGCAGCAAGAGTGGTTGTTGCTAACTGCAGAGAGCCGGAAATTCGCGCAACTTTTCACTTCTCATATTATACACTAGCTGTGTGCTTTGCCGCCGAAAATAGAATATAAAACCATAAAGAGTTAACGACGGCGTGAATAGCCCTATTTCCTGCTGGTTTGCACTTGTGAAATTATTATACTTTACACTGAACGTGTAAGTTGCGTTTTAAAAACTCCAATTACTTTCCACCTTGTTGAATTTAAAATAAAAGCAAGAACGGTTTTTTGGAAACATAAGTTAATGAGACTATAAATTTGATAAAATGTGTTGCTTAAAAATAATTTTAAATAAAATTATTAAATTACATGTAACGGTCTCACAGATATTTAATATCAAGTTCGATCAAGTTGATTGATTTCTAAAATGACATTAATTAAAATTGAACGTTAATTTGTTGCTTTAATAATCGACTTTTTAGACTCAGATACGTAAGAAAACTCATTGGAAAAGACGAATAAATTTTTTCATTTGCTTATTGTACAAAACAAAAATAAATTAATAAGCAAATATAAAGCAAACATGAATTTAATAAATTTAAAAATACGTAAAATTTAAAATATTGTCATTAAAAAATCTGAACTTTTAGTTTAAAGATCAATAAATGTGTTTACAAGATTTGCTTGTCATATTTTGTGAAAACATAAAGTTTCACTCTATATCAATAGATGAAAGTAAAAGCACATTATTGCAGGGAGAAATATCGCAAAATCATTTAACATAACTTAATGTCCCACCAAAAAGGCGATGTCTTAAGAGTTCGCGGTGGTGGTCTTAGAGTTTGTGGTGGTGTTCTTGGAGTTCATGGTGATGGCAAGAGATCGTGGTGGTAGCTTAAGAGTTCTTGGTGGTACTCTAGGAGTTCGTGGTGATGGCTAAAGAGTTCGTGTTGGTGTTCTTAGAGTTAATGTAGGTGGCTAAATTATTGATTCAAATTACGGCCACGCCCCTTGAATATTTATGATTCAGTTTTATAGTTTTGTTTTATAGATTTTAAATGGAATAATAATGGGAAGGGAGTAGGGACTAATATAGCGACAGACTTTTGCAATTTGCCTTGCGACTTTTCATTGGAAATGAATATTTAAATAAGATTCTATATATAGATGACTTCAATTTGCAAAAAAAAAATTTATTTTAATTTGCAAGAACTCATAAAAATAAATCGAAGATTCTAGAATTGAATTGGTATTTAAGCGCACAAAATTTTTTAATTTTTCTCGCCTCATTGTATGCGCATCTTTTTAGAATCTTTATTTAATACCGCACACAAAATCAGCTGAAAAAAAATACTTCTGAATTAGAATTTAATTCAAAGATTCATCTCCCTTACTTACAGTAGGACCACCTTTAAAAAAAATGACAATCAAACTGAAAGCGCAGTCGGATGATCGGGACATTTGAAGCAATTTGAACATTTTTGTTCAATTTTCTCTCTCATTTTTTCGTCCACAAAACTCTGAAGCCAACGGATTAAATTTTGTTTGCCGAGGAAATCGGAGCTGCGCCATCGTTTGGGTGCGGGTAGCGCGGAGAATGGGCGAGGTTGGTGCGGTCGGGGGGACCGGGAGCTGTGAGGAGCACGTGCGGCGTTCGCCGGAGGCTGCGGCTCGCTCGAGCTCCGTTCCCACGCTTCTTCTTTCCATTGACTGGCTGCCGCCGAAGACAGCTCGCCCGCCTCGAGGGCCAACAACACTTACTTGTTTCTTATTTGCGCCTCACGTCATTACACGCAAGATGTATAAAAACAAGACCTGCAAGCAGTCGCGAGCAAAAAATCCGCAATTTTAATCTTGAACCCTTCGGATTCGAAGTTTGAGTTGCTAAAATAAGTCGGGATTAGGATTTTTACTGTACATTATAAATTTGGTCTTGGTACTTGCAAAGGTGTTAAGTTGAAAGTCACGTCGCGAGCGTGGCGTCTTTC